CCCCCCCCCCCAATTCTCAATTCCTCCTAACTGGTTCTCCACACAGCTTTCAGTGTGATGTTTCTAGAATGGAAATAAGATCATGTCACTCCCATGATAAATTCCTTCCATGGCTTCCCATTCCTTTAGGATCAAATTAAAGGTACTCACATGGCTTTCTAGATGCCCCATGGCCTGGGCTTGCCTCTCTTGCTTTAACTCTTACTTTCTCCCTCCAATTACACTGGCTTTGTTTTCGTCCCTCCTCACCCAAGGACGTTTGCATATGCTCTCTAGAGCTTGTAATACTCTTTTCCCTTCACCTAATTCCTATTTTTTCCTTATGTTTCATCTTGAATGTCACTTCTTCATAGGAACTCATTAAAATAGGTCCTTTGTTACATATTTAGATGTGAAGGTTACATACCTTCCCTTTCATAACAGTCGTTCCCTTGTAATCACTTGGCTTTTATTGGTATTTCTTTTTAGACTCAAAGATCCATAAGGCAAGGATTGTTTCTGTGTCCATCAGCAGTCTAATAACCTTAAGACCTTGCCCAGTACCTGACACATAGTAGGCAATGAATAAATATTCGTTGACTTGGATTGAGTTCCAATAGGCATGGATGTGATTCCTAGAACAGGAGAATGAATGATATACTGTTTTTTGCCTCTTTCCTGGCTCTTGCTCCAAATAGCACAAAGCATAAAGAGATTTATTTTCAGCAACTCACTTCTTTGCATTGATTGAGGTTTTCAGACCACTGTATTGCTAGGCATTCTCACTGCCCAGCTTTTCATAGATGAAACAATTTTTTCTTTTGATTTTCATTTCATCATGATCCATTTTCCTCTGGGAGTGGGGGGCAGGGCTTTGACCTTGAGATGGAATTGAGCAAAGAAGCAGTGTGCTGGCTTTTGTTCTATAAATGGTCTGCTTTGCTGTTACTGCAACTAACCTAGGAGAGGAGAGGAAGGGGCCTCTCCTGCAAGTCCCTTAATTTGCCTGCCTCCCTTGCTGAGCAGTTGCCTGGAGAGATGGAAATATTACTCATCTGGGAGCAGCTTCCAGGTCTGAAACTGATATAGCTTCTGTGCTCTTTGGAGAGTAACAGCATCACTCAGCATCTTTCTCTGTAAAAGCAACTCTTTCTTTCTTTTTCTTTCTTTCTTTCTTTCTTTCTTTCTCTTTCTTTCTTTCTTTCTTTCTTTCAAAGCAACTCTTTCTTCTTTTCTTTTCTTTTCTTTTCTTTTCTTTTCTTTTCTTTTCTTTTCTTTTCTTTTCTTTTCTTTTCTTTTCTTTTCTCTTTTTCTTTTCTTTTCTTTCCCACTTACATTGTTTAAAATGGAGGTATAACTTATATAGAGTAGAGTTCATTAATTCTAAGTTCCCTAAGAACCACAGCCGGCTTCCTTATATCCAGCCTCAAGCTGTACTCCCAAATGGTAGCATTATTTTGCCATGTTAGGTTGACTCTTGAAAATCAGTTATTTCATTTCTTCCCCGCTGTTTTTACTATGTGATCATCCAAGTAATGTTTATTATAGAAAATTTGGAAAGTACAGAAAAATATAAACACTAATGGAAAATTACCTATATTCTTACTACTCAAAGGCCTATTATACTTTGAAATGACCAGAGTTCCCAGTATTTCCTTATCAAACTATGTCTGGGGTTTTTTGTTGGTTCTCTTTGAGAGCCTCTCATGCCTCCTTGCCTTTGTAGATAACTGCTACATTTTTTTGGGTAAACACCTCTGGTCAGTCTTTACATCTTTTTTTTTAAAGGAATTTTTTTCTTTTCTTTTTTTAAATACGTTTTTGTTGATTTCAGAGAGAGGAAGGCGAGAGGGAGGGAGAGATAGAAACATCAATGATGAGAGAGAGTCATTGATCAGCTGCCTCCTGCATGCCCTTTACTGAGGACCAAGCCTGAAACTCGGGCATGTGCCCTGACCAGGAATCGAACCTCTACTTCCTGGTTCATAGGTCAACGTTCAACCACTGAGCCACGCCTGCTGGGTCATTCTTTACATTTTGATACTACTTCATCTTTGAAGCCTTCCCTGAGCCCCACTTCTCTCCCTCTTACCCTATAATATTTGGTACATATTTATTATTGTCTTTGTCTTACTGTAGTGAAGATGTTCATATACTTACCTGTCTGTCCAAAACACTCTTAGTGAGCTCCTTTTTTTTCAAATATGTCTTTATTGATTTCAGAGAGAGGAAGGGAGAGGGAGAGAGAGATAGAAACATCAGTGATGAGAGGGAGTCACTGATTGGCTGCCTCCTGCATGCCCCCTGCTGGGGATCAAGCCCGAAACCCCAGCATGTGCCCTGACCAGGAATCAAACTGCAATCTCCTGGCTCATAGTTGATGCTCAACAACTGAGCCACACCAGCCAGGCTTAGTGAGCTCCTTTAAAGCACAGACTCTATATTGCCCAACAGAATGCCTAGGACGGAGCAGGCTTTCAGTAAATGTTTGTTGAATGAATGAATGAGTGAATAAAAAATAAATGAAATGTTGGTAAAGTAAGTGTTGAAGAATAAAATGTATGCCCAGGAGCAGGAATGGACAACTTCCTTTAATTAGTCTTATCTGCAGAATGTCAAAAAGGAAAAATAGCATTTTAGAGTGTTTTTTACTTTTCTGAAAGCTTTTACATAGTTATTTTACTTGACCTTCCAAAACAAGTCTATGAATATATATACATGGAAGCTATCACCAAATATGAATTGGAAGAGAAGATCAAAGATTGTGCTGAAAGTGGGAGGGAATGTTATTTAGGGAGGCTGGCTGAAAGAGTTTGCAACACCTAGCATTTACTCATTGCTCATAAGAACTGGCATTTGTAGGTATAGTATGTCAGGCAAATTACTATGCAATCTCATTTAATCACTGTTACAACCCTATAACTAATCATGATTACCCTCCATTTTATAGCTGAAGATTTTGAGACTCAGAAAGCTAAATTGGCCCTGGCTGGTTTGTCTCAGTTGTTAGAGCATTGGCCCAAGGACCAAAGGGTCCTGGGATCGATTCACAGTCTAGGGCACATACCTCGGTTGCAGACTCATTTGTGATCGGGGTCGGGGCACATGTGGGAGGCAACAAATTGATGTGTCTCTTTCACATCTCTCTCTCTCCCCCCCTTCCCCTCTCCTCTCTCCCTTCCACTCTCTCTAAAAATCAATGGGAAAATATCCTTGGGTGAGGATTAAAAAAAAAAAAAAGCTGAATTAATTTGTCCAAGGTCAAATAGGTAATAAGTGGCAGAGCCAATATTTAAACCTAGGACTAACTGTCATGTCCCTAATCTATTCCCCATTACACTAAAGTTCCTTTGTAGCAGTCCATCTGTAGAGGGCCATACCCCCCTGCTGTTAATGAAGCTTTTTATGTCATGAAAATCAGGAATTCTACTGTTACTATTCCAATTATCTTCAATGCGATGAACTTTTTGATAAGACGAACACTACTGCCATATTTCTGTGTAGCCATCAGTCCTATCTCATCATCACACTTAATCCTCACAATAATCTGTTGATATAGCCTAGATTGTAACCCTCTTCTCAGAGAGGGGAGCGACTCGCCTTAGCAAATATTGCTAATAAATGGCAGGGCCAAGATTTGACGCTAAGTCCAGTGTTCTTTCCACTGTAGCACGTAGATCTGCTGAAGCTGATTATAGTGAGCGTAGACTCTACAACAGTGGTTCTCAACCAGGGGACATTTAACAATGTCTGGAGATAATTTTGTTTGTCACTACTTGGGGAGTACTACTGGCATCTGGTGGGTAGTTAGGGTGTGTAGGCCAGCCCCCCGCAACAAAGAATTATCTGGTCTAAAATGTCAATAGTGCTGAGACTGCGAAATCCTGCTCTAAAACAATTGGGTTTCAGGCCTCATTTCTCCAGAAGAGGTGAAATACCCAAAGTTAGCCTCCAAAGCATACCTAGTGATTCTTTTGGAATTGGTTATTCTTTTTTTTTTTTTGTATTGATTTCAGAGAGAGGAAGGGAGAGGGATAGAGAGAGATAGAAACATCAATGATGAGAGAGTCATTGATCGGCTGCCTCCTGCACAACCCCGACTGGGGATCGAGCCCACAACCCAGGCATGTGCCCTGACTGGGAATTGAACCTTGATCTCCTGAATCATAGGTCAACGCTCAACCGCTGAGCCGCTCCGGCCATTATTCTTTTTTTTTCTTTCTTTTTTTTAAGAGTGGAAGGGAGGGAGGGAGAGAAGCAGAGAGATAGAGAGAGAAACATCGATGTGAGAGAGACACATGAATTGGTTGCCTCCTGTGTGTGCCTGGACCTGGGCTGAAGATTGAACCTGCAACCCAGGTACATGCCCTTGACCAGGAATTGAACCCTTGACCCTTCAATGCATGGGCCAATGCCCTAACCACTGAGACACACCAGCCAGGGCTTGGGTATTCTTTAGTAGCAGCAAATATTTATTAATCACCAGGTTTTATTCAGAGTGTTATATTAAGCAAGATTGGGGATGCAGAAAAGTGTTAGACATCCATCTATCTCTTCAGGGAGTTTAGAGACTCTGGAGGAGGCTTAAGAGGATCCGATTGCTTTGGCCTGGCTGCAGATAATAGTCCTAGATCCCAGGAGCTCTGCATGCAGTAGTGGCTGTATTCAGGGACTACCCTGACTGAAGTGGTGCTGCTGGCTTAAGGGAACCCTCCCCATAGCTCACTCTTCCTTCCCACAGTTACGCGATGCCCACCAAAACCATGGAGGTATTGCAGCTGCAGGACCAAGGCAGCAAAATGTTTGTGGATGCAGTTCTTACCACCCATGAGCGAGTGGTTCAGGTAGGGACTCTGGGAGGAATGTGAAATGTATTTGCCTCTCCTTGTTCTTGTTTCTGTACATTTTTCTTCCTACCATGCCCGTCTCTTCCTCTTGCCTGCCCCTTGAATGATGATGTTCTGCAGGTTTCAATTCTTGATCCCTCCATCTTTCCTTATGTAATACCTTTCCTCTCTGCAGTCTCCTTCATTCCCCTGACTTCAGTAACCGTCGTTATATACTGGTAATGGCTAGATCTCCAGTCCTGATCTGATGGTTGAGCTTCAAACCTGCTACTCAGTTGCCTACTGCACTTCTCCACTGGGATGTCCCACAGGTGCCCTACATGCGGTGCTTACAAAACTCGCTGTAGAGGAACTGATGTTCCTTTTTTTCTAGAATCCTCCCCACCTTTGAGCCTAATGCTTGATCCTTCTTTCTCTGATATCCATTCACCACATTCTAAAGTTTCTACCCCTAAAAATCTTTTAGTTCAACTTTGCTTTACCTTCATCCCACTGTGATCATGTCATTTTCCTGATTACAACCCCTTAGTGGCTTCCCTTTAGCTCTAGCACTGGTTCTCTGTCTTTTTATTGCCGAGACAGATGGGTGACAACCACACCATCATTAGAGTGCTCAGAGCTATTAAAAATTCAGTTAACATCACCCCCATTTTTTATAACCGCTTTATTGAGAGTTTTATTCCTATGCAATACAATTTACCCACTCAAGATGTACAGTTAAATGGGTTTTAGTATATTCAGAGTTATGCAACCATCACCACAGTCAAATTAGAATATTTTCATCACTCCAAAAAGAAACCCTGGACCCATTAGCATCATTCCCCATTCCCTTGATACCTAGCAACCACTAATCTACTTTCTGCCTCTATGGTTTTACCTCTTCAGGACATTTTATTTAAATGGAATTGTACAATATGTGGCCTTTTTATGTCTGACTTCTTTTACTTAGCATAATGTTTTCAGGATTCAGCCATGTTGTAGCATGTATCAGTATTTCATTCCTTTTTATTGCCAAATAATATTCCAGTGGACATCACTCCTTTTTTATCCATCAAGAAACATATCAGCGAGGTAATGAATGTTAAGGTAGTAACACCTTAAATCTATGTTAACTTATAAAGTACTTATTGAAGTACTTAATAATTAAAGTACTTAAAATCTTTGGTTCTTTAAATATTTTCAGAAATAAATTATTCGAGATACATCTTACGAAGACTGATCTTGCCACTGAGGCCCACAGGATCAAGTTTGAACTTCAGATTAGCACCTGACTGCCCTCATGATTCTCTTGCTTTTCTCCATGCCCCATTCATTCCAGCTACACAACAAACTAGTTTTAATTCCCTCGTACTGTGCTCTGCCTCCATGTTTTACTGAATATTGCTTCCTCTGCCTTGAAAACTCCCACTACTGTTGAAGTCTCCCAGTTTACTCCTGTTTTTCTGTTACTCTTTTGGAAGCTTTCTATGATGTCCCCTGATTAATTTAGGTAGGTACTTCTCCAGTGGGTTTCTACAGCCCCCTTCAAACCCTTCTCCCACACATCTGATTCACCTCTGGATTCTCAGCACAGGGTCTGACACCAGTCAGGTCCTGGTCTATGTGGGTTAACTTGAATCAGAAAGTCGTCCTGGACTTGCTAACTTCTTTGGTCCAGTTATGACATCCAGTGCCTAAGGATCAGATATTGGCCATGACCATCTCAGCAAGCAGACGCCCTGGCAGAGAGCAAGAGAGATCCTGTAGAGGCTGGTCTCTGAAGCCAGCTCTGGGTGATAATCCTTCACCCAAGGGCCATCTAGCTCTGCTGGAGCTGACATTTAAACCCATGCCATGTCTCCCAATCACCTAGCTTTCAGCACCTCTTAGAGTATCTTTCCTTTTGCAGATAAGCGGTTTGAGTGCTACATTTGCAGAGATTTTCTTGGAAATAATCCGAAGCAATCTTCCTGAGGGAGTCAAATTGACAGTGAAGGAGGTAGGTGCTAGTTTGAAAAGAGACACCTTGGTCGCCAACCTGTGCTCAAAATATCCAGATTGCTTGGCTTTAGAAACAACAAAGAAATGTTTATAATTTAGCCCAGATAAAAATCAAGAAATGTGTGCAGGCTGGTATTACTGTGGTCGTTATCCTGCCTCTTCAGGGATGATGGACCACAAGCTGAAATCTATCACAGCATCTTGATGTTAGGGGTGAGCCCATCACACCTCAAAATTCTCTCCCTCAGGCAGTTGTTAAGCAGAAAGCATCATTTAAGATCACATACAGTATAACTAATCAGAATACAAATAGGGAAATGTACTTTAGAGAAAGGTTCTTGGATCTCTGAGGCTTGACTGTACCCTGACTGAATATATTCAGTAAAGAATGCCAGTCAGAAGGAGGTTTGCCATGGAAAACTTGGAATACATTGGGAACTTTAGCCTAAATACTCAGCATTTGGGTCCTGTTGCCAAGATGTTCCTTATGACACAGATACATCAGGTCATCTTAGACTGATGCCATTTGCTTCGTGCAGCTCCCTTGTTTTGAATCCATGCTTGTTAAGCCTCTGCTAATTATTATAGATCTGTAACCAGGGAGAAAATGTGCTGGTCATGCTGACTGGAAATGGTCTAGTCCCTATGTCTGTTATTTCCTATTATAAATGGAGAATTTTGGCATTTGTTCTTTATAAACCTGTCTTCTCGCACCAGACCATATAATCACTTAAGGCAGGAAGGAAGTCTAATTTAGCTTTGACTCCTTGGTACCTAATACAAGTCTGATACATAATAGATATTTAATAAAAGTTAGTTGAATCTGATTCATTCTCTACAGAGCTGGCTGGTGGGTCCTTTTTTGAGACTGTGTATATGTGAATAACTGAAAGCTCTGCAGTAATTCCCACTTATTTTTTCTTCTCCCCAGCACACTGAAGAAGACTTTAAGGGAAGGTTCAAAGCTCGGCCAGAACTGGAAGAACTGTTAGCCAAGTTGAACTAGCTCATTGCAGACTCTTTCATGCCAGCACTGGTGATACTGAGTGCTAAGGGGAAGAGCTTTCTGGGTGGTCAAAGTTAAGCAGGAGACCCTGATCCTTAGATATAAGTATCCATCCCTACAGCCAGGAATGCCTCCTCTCCTCTGTGGAAGAGTGCTTGCCAATTGCCACCACTTTCCTCTGAGCCAACCCTACTATTCTCCATCTAATAAAAATCGAGTGATGATGGGTGTTGTTTTTTTAAGTAATTTATTGAGGTGAAATTCACACACCACAAAACTAACCATTTTAAAGTGAAGAATTCAGTGGTATTTAATACATCCACACTGTTGTGCAACCACCACCTCTATCTAGTTTCCAAACCTCATTGCCTGTTTTTGTAATAAAGGTTTATTGGAACATAGCCATGCTTATTCATTTATGTATTGTTTATGGCTGCTTTCAGACTACAATGGCAGAGTTGAGTAGTTGTAACAGAGACTGTAAAGCTAAACCATTTATTATGTGGCCCTTTATAAAAACAGTCAAACCCTGATCTAAGTTATTGGTACTCAAACTGAAGTATTCATCAGGATCACTGAAGGACTTTTTAAAAATATATATATATCTTTATTGATTTCAGAGAGAGGAAAGGAGAGGGGGAGAGAGAGAGAGAAACATCAATGACGAGAGAGTCATTGATTGGCTGCCTCCTGCACGCCCCCGACTGGGGATTGAGCCGGCAACCTGGACAGGTGCCCTGACGGAATCGAACGCCGATCGCCTGGATCCTAGGTCGACGCTCAACTGCCAAGCCACACCAATTACTAGACTATACCTCCACATTTTTTTATTTAATAATTTTGAGTGAGGGCCTAGAATTCTCATTTCTTATATCCAGGTGCTGCTGTTCAGTGACCCGTTTTTCCTATTTTGACCATTAATGTATTCTTACTTTTGTCCATAATTGCTACCATTTATTGAGCTAGACCCTATGCTAGGTACTATATTAGGTCTAAAACATACCATTTTTTAGGGTGTATATCAGTGTACATGTAGATGAGTATCTGAATGTGTGTGAGTACATTTCACATTTATTGAGCTCTTATAAATGCTATGTACTATATACAGATTATCCTTAAGGTTGATGGTATTATCCCAATTTTACTGATGGAAAAACTGAAGTATGGAGAGATAAAGTGATTTCCAAGGGTCACACAGTAGTACACCTGTCTCCCCTGTACCCCCTGCTTCTCTGAGATACTCCTACAAGTCTGTGGGAGCTCAGAGCATTCTTAGTATTTAAAAAAAATATTTATTGAATGTATTGGGGTGACATTGGTTAATAAAATTATGTAGGTTTCAAGTGTACAATTCTATAATACATCATCTGTATACTGTCTGTATTGTGTTCACCACACAAAGTCAAGTTTCCCTCCATCACCATTTATCCCCCCTTTACCCTTTTCTACCTGCACTCACCCCCTTTCCCTCTGGTAATCATCATACTGTTGCCTTTGTTTATGAAGTTTATTTTATTTTTTTTTGCTTAATCCCTTCAACTATTTCACCCAGCCCTCCAACCCTCTTCCCTTCTGATAGCTGTCAGTTTGTTCTCTGTATCTGAGTCCATTTCTATTTTGTTCATTAAATTCCACATATATGTGAAATTGTATGATATTTGTCTTTCTCTGATTGGCTTACTTCACTTAGCATAACATTCTCCAGGTCCATCCAGGCTATCACAAATGGTAAGTTTTCCTTCTTTTTTACGGGTGAGTAGTAGTCCATTGTTTCAACTGCTTTTTTATCCACTCATCTACTGATGAGCACTTGGGCTGTTTCCAGTTTTTGGCTATTGTAAATAGCACTGTAGTGAACATAGGAGTGCATATGTTCTTTTGAATTAGTGTTTTGGGTTTATTTGGATATATTCCCAGAAGTGGAATCACTGGGTCATAAGTCAGTTCCATTTGTAATTTTTAAAGGATACTCCAATCTGTTTTCCACAGTGGCTGCATCAACCTACATTATCACCAACAGTACATGAGAGTTCCCTTTCCACATCCTCACCAACACTTTTGTTTGTTGGTTTATTGATGATAGCCATTCTGACAGAAGTGAGGTGATATCTCATTGTGGTTTTAATTTGCATCTCTCTGATGATTAGTGACATTGAGCATCTTTTCATGTCTATTGGCCATCTGTATGTCCTCTTTAGAAAAGTGTCTATGCAGGTCCTTTGCCCATTTTTTTCCAGGTTTTAAAACTTTTTACTTACATACTTTTTAAAATTGTGCATTCCAATAACTAAAATAATTTTAACCAAAAAAAATGGCACTCTGATTAAACTGCATTTTACAGCATGCAGCTCGGTTTTTACTCTAGATTTTACTGTTATCCCATCCAGTTTCTTCCTTCACCAACATGCAAGTTCCTTATTTACTTATTCCTTCCCTGCCAGCCAGACAGGCAGGTGGGAGATTGGGTTGTTTTGATTTTTTGCTGTTGAGTTGTGTAAGTTCTTTACATATTTTGGATAGTAACCCCTTATCAGATGTGTCATTGGCAAATATGTTCTCCCATTCATTGAGCTGTCTTTTGATTTTGTTGGTGGTTTCCTTTGCTGTGCTAAAACTTTTTAGTTTGATGTAGTCCCATTTATTTTTTCTTTTGTTTTCCTTGCCCCAGGAGATGTATCAGAGAAAATATTGCTATGAGAAATGTCCAAGATTTTATTGCCTGTGTTTTCTTCTAGGATTTCTATGGTTTTGAGTCTTATATGTCTTTAATCCATTTTGAGTTTATTCTTGTGTATGGTGTAAGAAGGTAGCTAGTTTCATTTTTTTGCATGCATCTGTCCAATTTTCCCAGCACCATTTATTGAACAGACTGTCTTTATCCCATTATATGTTCTTGCCTCCTTTGTAAAATATTGACCATAATCACCTGGGTTTATTTCTGGGTTCCCTATTCTGTTCCACTGATCTATATGTCTGTTTTTATGCGAGTACCATGTTGTTTTAATTACTATGTCCTTGTATAGTTTGGTATCAGGTAGCTTGTTTCCTCCAACTTTGTTCTTTCTCAAGATTGCTGTGGCTATTGGGGGTCTTTTGTGTTTCCATATGAATTTTTGGAATATTTGTTCTAGTTCTGTGAAATATGCATTGGTATCTTGATAGGAATTGCACTGAATCTATAGGTTGCTTTGGGTAGTATGGACAATTTAATGATGTTAATTCTTCCTATCCATGAGCATGGTACATGCTTCCAATTATTTGTATCTTCTTCAGTTTCTTTGTTCAGTGTCTTATTTTCTGAGTACAGGTCTTTTACATCCTTGGTTAAATTTATTTCTAGGTATTTTTTCTTATATAATTGTAAAAGGGATTGTTTTCTTAGTTTCCCTTTCTGACAGTTCATAACTGGTGTATAAAAATGCAACTGATTTTTGGATATTTATTTTGTTTCCCTCTACTTTACTAATTCATTGATCAGTGCTAGTAGTTTTTTTGGTGGAATCTTTAGGGTTCTCTATATACAGTATCATGTCATTTGCAGAGCGTTCTTAGTATTGCATGTACTTTTCTGAAACTCATCAGTTTCAGTCCTGAAGTTATTTTGGTTTCTTTGCCTTGGTCTCCAAAGGCAACAAGAGGAAACTCAGATTTCCTCCCAAGGTATAACAGTAAGAGAGTGCTATCAAAATAGCATGTGCCCTCAATTAAAATGCTTCTCTGAATTCAAATTTAAGGCTCAGCAGGCCAGGACTTCCAAGTGAACCCCACTGGGAGTGTGGGAAGAATTTTCCAGGCAAGGACTGATATTTTGGTTGTAGAACTGCTCATTGCTGAGACTCCTTTAGAGAAGATAAAAGAACAGCAGCTAATGGATGAGTGTAAAGTAGGGGGATATGTAGTGACATGAAGATAAAAAGCTGAATAAATAGATGTACACTAACACACACACCACCCCCGTATCATGTGGGCAATGTCACATAGATGCCATTTGTAACCTGGGATACAGCAGTCTTTTCCAGTTGCCCACCTTCTCTTGTTATCAATTTGTGAAAGCTGGGCGCAGGATTTCATAAATTGACAAAACATTAAAGCTGAAGGACCCTTGGGACCCAGACAGCCTAACCCTCTCTTTTAGCAAGTGCAGTGTAGGATCTCAGGAAGGGCAGTGCTTTACCCAGGTTCACAGGGCACTTCACTGGTAGAGCTAGGAGCAGGATCCAGATCTCGTTTCCCAGTCCATCACTTTCCATTACATCACTGGGAGATGAGTGAGGCTTATCTCTTAAACAAGAGGCAGCTGGGTTCTGTCGCCTTGAAGCTCTTGTGTCACTGACCTAGTTGATGCTTTATCCTCTAACCAGAGTCAAAGGGCTTTGTTGCTCACGATTAATCTGCCCTGAGGCAAATAGAAATTTCTCATGCCTCGTCCTGTTGGGAAGGACAGAAGATATTTTGATTGCTAGAATCTCAGGTACAAAACAATTATGAGCTTCATTTTACTCTCTAATGAGGCCCAGAGGGAAATGGACTTTCTTAGGATCAAATGGCAGTGAAGTGAAATGGGATGCAAATTTCCTGGCTCTAGGTTGGTCTCCCTCCCTGAGACAACCTGTTATAAAGAGGCAGACAAACCTGGTTTATTACAAAGTTTCTACATTTATTAGTTTTGAGGCCTCAGGTGAGTTATTTAAATCTCATTAAACCTGTTTTCCAATCTGTAAATGGGGATAATTCCCTTTTAGGAGTTTGAGATGGAGATAATGTATATAATAAGCTAGCAAGTGTTCAGTAGATGTTAGATTACCTTCCCTTCTAAACTTTTTCAGCATACTTTTTTGAAAGATTTTTTTCCCATTGAGGTATAATTTTTATATAGTGAAACACAGATTTTAAGTGTATATTTGATCAGTCTTGAAAATGTAGCCACCCATGAAAACTATACTTCTATCACGATAAAGAATATCTCCATCACCCCAGAAAGTTCCCTCACATTGTTTCATTTTTCCCCAGAAGCAACCACTAATCTCATTTGTTGTCATAGATTAGTTTTGCCTGTCTAGTACTATTTTTAAATATCATACAGTATGTTTGTAGCCTTTTGTGTCTGACTGCATTCATTTACCCTAATATTTTATCTGTGTTGTTGCATGTATCAGTAGTTCACTCCTTCAGCATACTTTTGTTTTGAATACCTCAGTCAGGGTTAAACTATGCCTCGTACTGCTGTAAAGACAAGGGGAATAGGCAGGAGAGACGAGAGGGAAGGTCAGTGGGTTAGGAAATCAGAATAGCTGGGTTCTAGTTTTGGCTCTATCAATACATAACCTTTGGGATAATCTGTTTTGGTCTTCATTTTACAGATGAGTTAACTGGTCAGGGAGGGAAGGAGACTTGTACAAGGTCACCAGTTAACCAGTGACAGCCAGGGATAGCCCCAGGTAACTCAATTCCTGGTTCAGTGCACATTACTGAGATTGTTAGAAATGGATTTTTATGTAGATCAGTAATTTTCAAGAAGGACCTGGGGTCAAATGGGGAGTTTTACTAGTGATGGCCAGTAGATTCCTCAGCTTCATGTGTTAGTCCCTTTCCTCTGGCTGAGGATGCCTTATTCACACACACACACACCCTCACCACCACCAGAACTGGAAATTGCCCACTGTGGATTCTGAAAGGGTGTTTTATTTGCAGAGAAAGAAATGAAATCTGGGTATTTTGGACATTCAGACACCACAGCAATGCTGAGATCTCTGGTTCCCACTGTTTCTAGGTTGTAAAGTGTACTTAAGGAAGAAAAGCTCTCTGAGCATGCACTGGGCATGTCTAAAACTAGACCTGCTGCAAAGGCGCCGCAGATGGAGATGGCCAGTGGCCTTATGCTTGTTTCATATGTACTTTGATCTCTTTGTGCCATTTTTATCTTCAAATGTCTGATCTCCCTGGAGAATCTGAAATGATTCATTTAGTTCTTAAACTCACCCTGAAATACCTTTCATTCTCAGACATTTCTGGTTTAGGGAATCAGCTCATCATTTATACAAAATACTCAGGCTCTGAAGAATGAAAACTTTTCAGAAGATCGCTGTTAGAGAAGGAAAGAATCCCTCCCACTTCCTCTGCCTGCTTTAAGTCCCTGCTGGAACAGAACAGGAAGCCCTCGCATTCCACATTCTGTACAGTGGGAAAGTGTAAGGTTTCAGCCTGGACTTGCTCCAGCTCTCTTTGGATTTTAAAGTCAGCAGCTCAGGACCTAGTCTGGCAATTTTACCCTAGGGAGGGAGAGTGAGAGGAGTATCTTATTACTCATCTAGTAAAACACATTACAGTGCATCTTTGCACTAAGCACAGGCCAAATCCCCAGCCAAGGACCTTGCAGGGAAGAACCAAGTCATGAGTCTTGACCTAGCCAAGAAAGGACAGCCAGCCAAGAGGTCTCTCTATTCATCCCTTGACACCAAACCTCTCTGCAGTAGTAGGGGTAGATTGTATAGGGATAGGCATGGACCACCTTGAACTCCAGCTCCATAGCTGTGGGATGTAGAGCTGAGACAAAAGACAAACACACCATACCAATCTAAAACACTGTAAGCAACCTGCACTGGTTAGTTTCCTTTTTGTAAAGCACTAAAAAAAGTATAGTAATATTTACATAGTAAATATGGCTACTTACTGTGCTAAGCAGATGTTTGTGAAAGAGCAGAGCAGAGAACAGCATAGGCTTTAAACAAGACACACTTGGACTGTAATCCTCAATCTGACCTTTATTTCCTCCTTTTTAAAGGTGAGTTAATGGAGAGTTATGAGTGATTAAATAATATAACTCAGGATAGTGACTAGCACACAAGAATAATAACAATAGCTAACATTTAGTGACTACTTACTAGGTGCCAGGCACTGTTTCTAAGCTCTTTACAGGAAGTCCTCAATGTCGTCAATAGGTTCTACAACTTTAAGCAAAATGATGTATAATGAAACCAATTTTATTATATAGGCTAATTGATGTAAACAGAGTTAAATTCCTACCACATCTCATCATCATAACAAAATGACACTGAAAGAAACTATTCAAAGACCTGCTGTACCAATATTAACTCATTCTTTCTACAACCCGATGAGGAAGGTCTACATTTATTAGTTGTGAGGCCTATGTGAAAGGCATTATAACTGCACTTTTACAAAGAAAAAACTGCCTGAGATGTTAAGTAATGTGCCCCAAATCACCCAGCTAGTAAATGGCACAGTGGGATTTGAAAGCATATCACAGGGAATGAGCAGACTCTAGAACCAGACAGCCTGGATTAAATGCTCTCCAGAAATTAGTTAACAGTTCAATAAATGCTAACAACTTTTATTATTATTTATATATTATCTCATTCAATTCTTTTAGTATGCCTATTAAATAGGATTTACCTTCATTTACTTGAGGAAAGAGGCTTGAGCACCCTTGGCTCAAATACATTGTTACCCACCCAGGGTTAGCTCCCTGTTACAGCTGTAGCCCTCCAAAACTTGCTACCTCCACATAGCTCGTTTGGAGGTCCTTTCACCCACCCTTTCTGCTAGAATCTCCCTACCTCATGGCGTATTACTTCTATTTTAATTTCTATATAGATACATTCCTGTTGTAAGATTTGAATATATAAGCAAATACAGGGTGGGGCAAAAGTGGGCTTACATTTGTTCGTATGGGAACTACAATAATTAATAAATAATAATACAAGAATAAACTTTTATGTACTCAGAACTATAAACCCACTTTTGCCCAACCCTGTATAATCCTTATGTATGGAATGATGATCACAGTGACCATTCATTCACTATTGCAAACAGTACTGTAATGAACATAATAGTATATACATCTTGTAAAATATATTTAAGAGGATTCCTAACAGAGTAATTGCTGTTTAAATATTTAAAATATTTATAGATCCCACCAAATTGCTCTCCAAAAGCTCTACTAATGATCCCTTCAACTGTGTGAATGTGTCTGTTTCTCTCCATCCCCACCAGTACTAGTCATTATAAATACTTGGATTTTTGTCAAGAGGATTGACTAATAAAACTGTTTTTAAAATATGCATTTATCTTGCTATCAGTGATGCAGAATATATTTACATTTTCCTATTTTGGGGGTATATTTAACTGTTCACTTTTCAACTAGGCTTTTGCTTTTTATTGCTGAATTCTACGTACTCTTTTATTTGCTGCAGATGGCAATCCTTCCTGTTATATATGTTACAAACAGGTAGTTATCTACTTCATCTTTAAAGGTTCCAAATCAACTAAATCCCTTCTCTTCTTGAGATTCTTGCTGAAAACCCCAGTCCCCACTACTACTTCCGATGACCCACAGTACTAAGTACACAGATTCATCTTTATATATATACATCTAGTCAACCCCTTCTGCTTGAAGGCTGCAACTAGATTTTAGTTTTCTTTAAACTGGTATTCCTATCTTATCCCCTTTTTTCTCTTTCCCTCCTCCCCAAATACCAACACAAAGGTAGTGTTTGGGCTTGCTATACTTCAGATTTGTGCTTCTAATTTATATAGATATAAAATATGAGATGTGTGTGATACAAGAAATATTACTGATGATGATGACAGCATATGTCCCTTTGTATTCCAGCTTCTGTGACGGGTCAACTCTCCCAATTCCCTTCACACTCCCAATGCCTTACAGGGCTAGGCAGAAATAGAATGGGTAATGTAATTCCATGGAAGCAAAATGAGAAGTGGTGGCAACTTACGAGCCAGAGAATACAACCACTTAAGAGAGATTGTATTCAGCTCCAGCAAATTGTTAAGTAGGAATATAAGTTCCATGTTGACAGTTTCTCTATTTTTCAGAAGTAGAAAAATCTGTATTTTATGTTAAATGTACTTTTTAAATGTCAAGTCAACATTGCGTGTTTGTTGGGTTCGGAGTATGTTGAGGTCAGACTCTACATTTGGTGATTCAACAGACTTTCGCATCTGAGAGTCACTCAGTGTTTTGTTTCCACATTTGCTTTCTTCCTTCCATTAGACTGAATGAAACATCCAGAACAACTTATCAAAGATAAAGTCATTTATATCATCATCAGGAATTATTTAGTTAACGTTCCAATGTTGTTTTATTTCTGTCTCTCAAGCTAGGCTAAACATGAAGGCAGAAATAATATTATTTATCACATCAGTTTCCAACAGTGCCTGGCACATGAGAAGATCAACATTGGTTGTTGAACCAATGACTGAATAAATGAAGACCTGATTAGGTAACCCATTTACCTTTAGATTGTGAATTTACTTCTAAAATTCAATGTCCATGTTATCAGCTCAGTACTTGGCACACTGACCCCGAGATGTAGGATAGAAGAGCATGCCTTAACCCCACTCTTTTACATGGCAAATATTGGTCAATATTTAATATTCGTGGAACAAGATGAATGAGGATGTGTGGGTCTCACCATAAAAATATGACAATTCTTTCTTTATGACAGTCATGTCCAAACCCATGGCTGCCTGCCTCTCAACCCTAATCCCAAAGACTATCCCAGAGTTTTCTACCTCTTGGCACACACTTCCACTGTTCAGGATTTCTCTGGGTGCTAGTTTCTGTAGGCCATCCTCTGGGGATAGATGGTTTGGGGTCTCAGCTGTGGGCATCGTCTTGCTCTTTCCTCCTCTGCAGCTCCTTCCGCCGCCTTGCCTGCTGTTCACTCATGCAGTCTCTGAAAGCCTGCACCTGTGGCTGGCACTGTCGCCAGTCCTGGTGCTGGGCCATGCACTCCTGCACTGCATAGTGGGAAGCAGCACAGCCAGAGCGGGAGATCAGCTGGTCCAGTGGGTCCTCTTCCTCATCCTCCTTCTTCACCTGACGGGCCCAGGTATGGCCTTGAGTTGACATCTATGGTAGTGTCTAGACATCAATGGAGGCAAGGTTAGAGTAGGAACATGACTATATACGAGGTTCTTCTATTATAAATACTGACCACTGCACTATTATAGCCTATTTATGCATATGTCTCTCTTTGGAGACTAAGTTATTTGAGGATATTGGGCCTGATTCAACTTGGTGCCCTCAGCACTAGCCTTGGCAGAGAGCAGGCCTACAAAAGGGTTTGAACTAAATGGAATGAAATAAAGTATGTGAGACTGCTTAGAACAACACCAATTAAGCTTGAGTGGATTCTGCCAATGGATTTTGAATTAGGTGAAATGTCACCTTTCTGGAGAAGCTATCTCTGATTCACCTCAAAAGAATTAATCTCTCTTCTAATACTGGCCTTATTCTGTGGCTAGAGAAGAACAAAGTTGAACACTTGGGGGAGTACCCAAGTATGTGTAGGGTTTGACATATGGGAGGAATGGAGAGTTGTAGCAGCCAGGGCAAGAGATGAATCTGTGAGGTAATTGAGAGTACTTAATGTGAGGTGTATCTGCCCAAACTTCTTGCGAAGATCATCTGCTTCAGAACACTGAGCAGAAGGTAGCATACAGAAAGAACTTAAGAAAGGCTTGAAGAGAAATGATCTCAGTCTTCGTACAGATTTTACCATGACAGGCTGTAAAGAAACTAGGACCTCTTAATGCCTTTTCTGTGTCTCTGATTTATTTGATCACTGAGTACCTATCATGTACCAAGCACTATGCTAGAGCTGAGGACAAAGGAGTGACCAAGAGAGATATAGTTTCTGCCTGGATCCAGACAAGTGAACAGACAGTTTACTATACACTGTGTACAGAGACAGCTCAGATTGGGAACACAGTGGAGTGATACCTAATCCAGACAAGGGTAGATAGGGAAGGTTTCCTGGGGGAAGTGATTTCTAAACTGACACTTGAAGGATGAATAGGAAAAAGAGAAAGAAAGAAAAGAAAAAAAAAGAATGAATAGGACTTAGCCAGGGATGGAAAGGAAGAATATCCCTGTCAATTGAAGAGCAGGGTGAGGGTGAAACAGAATTTGACAGGAGAGGAACGGAAAGTTTTGTATGACTGGAGAATAGTATGAGAAGAAAACAAAACAAATGAAACTGGCAAGACGATAAAGTATCTGATCACAGCCAGCCTTGTTAGTCACGTTAGGGCGTTTAGAGGGCAATGGGGAAGAGACAAGAAGGATTTAAGCACTCCATAGCCCTACATAAAACTCATTCACTTTGGGGGCATATAACCTGAGGAAGGAGAAAATGGGCTTTGAAACAGACTTGGGTTGAAAACTAGCTTTGTCACTGACTTTCAGCAAATCACTTCATAATCTCTCTTGAAAAACAGAGATAATATATACCCCACGGGATTAAGACTAAATGAGATAATGCATGTAAGGAGCCTGGCACGTCCAAAGAGTTCAATAAATAATCTTCCCTATTACTGTACTTCTTAAACACACTGTAAGCTCCTTAAAGGTAAGGAGCAAACCTCACAGCAAGCACAAGGAAAAGAAAAGTGCCTTATATCCTGAGCCAAAAAATCCGGGTTCGAATACCGGCACACGCCTTACTATGCAATCTTTTTCGGTTTCCTCAAGGTAATACTTAACTCGCTGAATTACTGTAAGGATTAACACAATGATGCCAAATGATTGGACTACTACAGGACTCAGTAAATGCTACTGTACTCTTTTCCCCACCACATGGCGGCTTCAGTCTCCCCGGGATAAGAAGAGGAAGACCCTTGCTCACAGATCAGGGCAGGCTAGACGGTCAGCAGCTGGAAATGGAGGCCGGCCTGGACTAGGAAGGAATGGAAAGAATGGGAAAGCAGAGAAATCCAGGCGGCCAAATCACCCGAAGCTCCTCCCCCACCTTCAGGACGCACCCCTGTCGTGCCCGTCACGCTTCACCGAGTAAGGACGCGGCACGCGGCGCTCTCCGAACAGGCAACCAAGACCAGAACTGGCGCTCCAGCACGCCCGTTTTGCAAGCCTTAGGAACTCTCCCGACCCTTCCGCCAGTAACCAGCCGCTGTGAGGAACGCGCGCACGGAAAGGGGGAGGAGGGACGAAGAGGAAGGGACCTATCGCGCGTTTTCATTGGTGGCCTCTCGGTGTAGGTCCCGCCCTCCGTACTCGCCGCAGCCCTTGAGGGGGAGCCACTTCCGGGAAAGAGCGGAAGAGGCGGGCTGGTGGAGGCGGGGGTCAAGATGGCGGCGCCTTTGAGAATTCAGAGCGACTGGGCCCATTCTCTCAGGTGAATCCAGTCATAGAACCGGGACAGAGGAGGCGGGTAGTGGATGTTGCCTTTTGGTTGAGAGCCATGCCCGATCCAGGATATCCATAGGAGTTACCTCATCAATTGTTGAGGGAGCACTAAGTCTAGAAAAAGAAATCTCAAACCCGCATGGTCGTTGTTTTTCATTCTCAGAAGAGCTATCCTGAGGCTAAGGGAACACATAAGCGCTGTGTGATCCCAGCATCAGAACAAAGATTAAATAAAGAGTTGGAGAAAGACCTGAAAACTGGGAGGCAGGAGGCCGAGTAGTTACAGCTATTTAACAGATAGTTATTGGTCGTCAGCTGTTTGCAAAAGTCCCAGTACTCACCACCACCGCATTGTCTTAAAGTGTGTTTGTCACGTTGAACCATTATATTCAGTAAACCATGTGACTCCTACCATGTCCAGAATCCGACCTAGATAGATGCTCGGTGCTGTTCAGATGCTGTTCAGATGTGTACTCTAAACTGAAGGGGTGGTTCCTGCCCTCACGCTGATAGTTTAATTGGGAATGCACATCAAACCATTCTTTTAACATATATTCATTTCTCTAGCACCAGGATGAGTATAGCAGTGCCATGGGCGGCAACTATTGTTACTAATAAGGATATTTTAAATTGAAACAGTGGTGAAGATGAATAACGTTCCTGCATTTAAGAAACTTAACACCTTACTAAGTGGGCTAAAATAACACATTACTCACTACAACACAGAATGTGTGATACATAATAAAGGAAGAACACTAACATTTATTGACAGCCACCAGGTGCCTACTAGAGAATGCAGTATCAGATTCAGAGTAAGTGACTTGCCCAAGATTGCGCAGCAAATAAGTGATAGAGAGTTGCTGGCAACCTAAAAGCCTAGGCCCTTTCCACTATAGACTAAGATGAGATAACAATTTGAATTATTGTATTGAGTTTGAGAAATGCCTCTAAGGTGGTAGAACACAGACCTTGCATACTAGTCGCAGGCTTCAATTCCTGCTTCATAGGTAGGTGACCTTGGGCAAGTAACTTCTTTGAGAGCTTCAGTTTTTTTATCTTTATCATGGAAATAATAAAAGATAACTTGTTAAGTTGTGAAGATTAATGATGCTATATGCAAAGTGTCTAGCACAGGGCCTGGCTTACAATAATTCCCCAAATATCTAAATATATTATTTGTTTGTTTTTTAACATATCTTTATTGATTTGAGAGAGAAGAAAGGAGAGGGAGAGAGAGAGATAGAGATAGAAACATCAATGATGAGAGATTCATTGATCAGCTGCAGCCCACAACCCGGGCATGTGCCCTGACCAGGAATCAAACCCTGATCACCTGGATCCTAGGCCGACGCTCAACCGCTGAGCCACTCCGGGCTGGGCTAAATATATTCTTGATTTTTCAAAGCTGTGCAGCTATTAATGCATAGTGAACTCCATATTGATGAATTCATTGGTGAATTTTTTTAACCAACAGATATATGCATTAAACACTTAATCCACAAATATTTCTTCAACAGATAGTGTTTGTCTTAGAATAATCTATGCCTAGGTGAGATGTTAGGCTAGACCATGTCTGTGTACTACAGCCAAACTGGAAATTATGTGATCTTCTTTCTCCCCTTGCATCAGTGGCATCAATGTTGTGAGCCTAATTAACCTTTGTCTCTCTTCATAGGAAGGATGAAGGGGAGGCCTGGCTGAGCTGTCACCCTCCAGGTAATGTCCTTAAATCCATACGCATTCCCTTTAGAGAAGGAGAAAGCTACCCACTAGAAGAAAGCTTCCTACTTTCTCCTGGGCCAGATTCCTTGCACAGTACTCATGGAGTGGGACAAAAAACAGAATTCCTCATTCCTATTTTTGTGGCATATTTCTGAACTAGCATTTCATGCCACTTTCTTGACAAAAGCTTCTTCACTGCATCTTCTCGAGTCCAAACTTCTACCCTAGATTGTGAGTTCCTCCATTAATGTCCTTCAAGTACCTTTTCCATGACTGTTGTAGCCAAACTGGTATATTAATTGATGCCTCCTTTCTCCTTGTTCTTTCTGATTTTCTTTTGTTCTTGACATGCCCCCTCCCTGACTTAGAGTTTCCTTTCCCTTATCTTCTATCTAGTCCTATCTTTCTTTCAGGGTTCCACCCTCTGTAGGAAGCGCCCCCACTCTGTGAATCTATGATGGTTTCTACTTTCCTCTTACTCCTTGAACTTCAGTTTGTTATCAATAGTTATTTGCTGAATAATTTATAGCAACCTACTAGTTTCTGAACTCTAGGACTTCACAGTCTAATGGGAGGTCAGAAAGGTAAACAGCATGTTATGGGCTGTTACAGAAGTATATATACTAGGTGAGGAAGGGAACTAGAAGAGAATGTTTTTAACTCCATTCTACCATCTGCATATGTTTATGTGTAGGATAATATCTTATTTAACCCATATCACTGCAAAAGCAGTGTTCTACTTAAGTACACTTTCAGATTAATGAAGCTTAGCTCTTTATTATGTATTATATATATATACTGTGGATAAATGCATATATTCATGTTGATCTTCAGCTTTCATCCTGGAAAAATGCCTTTTCATAGCTGGTAAAACTGAGGTTCATATCACTTTAGTAGCTTTCTTTACAAATACATTGTGTCTCTAAATCTTTGTCCCTAGTTTTTAGTCCTTGAGTATATTTCCTCCCGAATTAGGTTTGCTTAGGTAGTATTCTTTCCACTGCTCCTCATTTTTAACACCAGTACCCATTTTCTTTCATGAACCAATTTTCTGCCATTTATACAGATGCCCGAATTGGGTCTTCAAGGAGAAAAATGTTAAATTCTTATTACTTTTTGAGACATGCTTCTTTTGTGCTATATAGGGAAACCAACTTTGTATGGCAGCCTAACTTGTCAAGGAATTGGCCTTGATGGCATCCCAGAGATTACAGCTTCGGAAGGATTTATCGTGAATGAAATAAACAAGGTAGGTTTTTCTGTCTTCTAGATGGCACTGTGTCCATATATATACTAGTACCTATATATATCTACTTTAAATATTTATACTATTATCTGTGTATCAGTGTCATCTCTATGTCATTTGTACAGTAATCACAGTTTTTACTGCCTTTGAATGTCAAAGTTTTTCTTTTGTAGTTACAAATACTTTTAGATGCAGTCAAACTTCCTCTTCCCCTATAGCATTACTTTCCAAAGATAAGTAATGTAGCCACATATATAATTTTAAATTTTCTAGTAGCCACAAAAAAAACAAGTGAAATTCATTTTAATAATGTATTTTATTTAACGTCTATCATGCATATTGAAAATATTTTCTGGAAGTTCAGCATCCTCAATTTATATCCCTTAAAGGTTCCCTTTGGGTTGTGGTTGAAAAATATATATATTTATTTATGCTTTTTAGCCCAATGTATCTAAAATATTATTTCTACCTGTAATTAATAAAATTATTAATGAGATAGTTTACATTTCTTTTTTCTTATTAAGTCTTTGAGATCCTATGTATGTTTTACACTTACAGGACATCTCAATTCAGACTCTAATTTTTTATTAGAAATACTTGGTATGTATTTAGGTTTTATGAAATTTATAGTTGAAAACATGGATTCACATATTTAAAATTTTTTCTCATAATGGAATCAAGTATCACTTTTTAAATTAAACTTTAAATAAAATTAAAAATTCAATTCCTCATTTGCATTGACCACATTTTAAGTGCTCAGTAACCTTATGTGGCTAGTACCTACCAAATTATACAGCCAAGCATTATGATATGTCTGGCTAGGCCTTGGTGAATACCTAGGCCATAACCAAGTACTTAATAGTTTCTATCATTGGCCTTACAGGTGAGTAGATGGCCAAACTCAGTGTTGCAGAACCCATGATATAATTTTCTTTACTCATTCTGATGGCTGTGGTCAGTGTGCTCTGGTGAAATAATTTCCAAAGGGTAAACTAGCCTTTCTTTTTTTATGTAATTAAACTTTTTTAGTTGTAAAATATTTCTGGTATACTGACAAGAATAGAAAATGCTTTGTTTTTTTACATAAGATATTTAACACATGTTCATTCATTACCCTCTGTGCAAGGTGACAGGCTACATGTTATTATATATCTTATATTTGTTTTTCATTAACAGTTATGGAGTTGTAGAAAGTGTAGATCTGAATCTAACTCATAATTAACTCTGACACTTGCAATATGATTTTGGACAAACTCATAGACAGACAACAGTATGGTGATTACTAGAGGGAAGGGGAGTGGAGGGATGTAGAAGAGTGTAAAGGTGGGGGAATAAACAGCGACAGAATGAGACTTGACTTGGGCTGGTGAACACACAATACAATATACGACGATGTATTATAGAATTGTATACCTGAAACCTATATAATTTTATTAACTAATGTCACACCAATAAATTCAATAAAAAAAAGAAAGAAAAATATATGATTTTGGGCAAATAAATTAGTTCTCTGAGCCTCAGTTTCCTCATTTATAAAAAGGAGATAATATTCTATCTCATAGGCTGGTTAGTGGGGAGTGAGACTGCATATGAGTGAAACTTTAGAATATTACAAAAATGAGTTACTGTCATCATAATAGTCTTTTGGGATTAGCATTTTACATTTCCATTTTGCAGATAAACATACAGGCTCAGAAAGGTTCATTAACCCCTAATACTCAAAGCTAGTTAGATTGTATGTCAGAATCGAAACCCAATTCTATTAACTTCAAGTATACCACCACCTTGCAAGCCTACATTTTTCCCATGTGTTTCACTGGTATCCATCCACAGCCTAGGTGCTGACCTCCTTTCTTCCCTTTATACTCAGGCCCTGATATAATTCTTATCTTCCAGCATCATTGCTAATTTCTGCTGTGTACCTGCTGGGTCAGACAGTAAGTGCTTATGGTTGAGCATTCATTTGTTTCCTAACTGCCATGAGTCACTTTACTATTTGATGTTGCTGCATTTTTCTTTTAAATAGAACTCTCTATATGCTTAAAAACTTAACCCCAGAGGATAAAAAGTTTGACTTTGAATTTTACCTTAGTGTGGAACACTCACACTCCCCACTCCAACCCCCCCACCCCTAAATTCTGTCTGTCTTGATACCTCCTGCAGCTTTTCTTTAAATTATTTTCATTAACAGCATGACTCTCTACTGCTGACATTGGAAGGTAGTTCAACATTTCTCTTCCTTCATAGTCTGTTTATGGGTTAAAGGTTGATTTGCAGGATTGGTAAGCAGGAGAAAACCACTGATTTTTGAAACCTTTTACATAATTAGCCCCAAAGAATGAACTCTTCTGAGAGCTAACCAATGCTGATAGAGGCCTTAACACTAAGCTCTCAGAGCCCCGTGCATCCTTGATTGGTATGAATATTTAGCCAGGAGATAAGTTTAGCTGATGCTTTAGTTTTGGGTACAGCAGACAATTCCAAATCCAGGTCAGCTCTCTGGCAGCTATATGGGCTTTGTCATGTGGTTAGAAGCAAAAACTCATTTAATGAAAGGCCTGCAGGCAGCCAGGCATAGATATGCTGGCTAAGAAAGTACTGTTTGTATAGATATTCTAATTGTCTTTTTAAAGAAGTAGAAGACTATAATAATAGCATATTGATTTTCAGTGATAAGAATATTATAACTTTGAAACTGTTCTTTCTAATGAACTGTGAGGACTGTGCTTGTTGTACATAGATTGGCCTTATTAAGAGGTTCAGAAAATCTTGATTATTGAAGACATTTTCATTATCCAGCAGAATTTCCAGAAACTTTGAAGTACTGCTATGGAAGAGATAACAGGTTAGGGGCCATTTGGTGAGTGCAGCTCCTCAGCTCTCTATAGGAGGTATGCACTGAGATGATGGTGCTGGTATCCTTCTGCTTAGAGTGAAGAATTGTCATATCAAATCCTGGAGGAAGGGTTTGCTAAGCCTTTTATATTTCTACACATGCTACCTTGAAATACCAACATATTTACTTATAATAGTTACAGAGGCTGCCTTTAGCAAGTCATGTCACCTGAATCTAACATCTGGTTCTAGGTATAATTTTTTATTCTGTCACTAGTGTTATCTTGCTACAGGAGCTGAAAGATATGATAATGACTAGGCAAAACACATGGGGAATCATAATACAGCTGTGGATGTGATGATGACCAGTCTACAAACATGTACAGCCAGTTTAAGTCCTAGGGGGTATGGGCACTGCAAGCCTGACCAGGGCCTCCACATTGTAAGAGTGTACCATAATTTACCGGTTATCTCTGATAACTGTAGATGTCAGTAGTCTAACATTTTTTCTAAAAGTTCTTACAGGGAGCAAGTTTACTTTTAGCCTAGTTCTTTAGGTTTGAGGGCTGCTGCTGTTTTCTCACATCTCTTAATCCTGTTCCTTGCCCCGCTGCTAATTAAGAGTGCTGGTATTACATTTTCTTCTAGAAATTAATGTTCTCATGTTTGTCAGTTGTATCTTATTGTTGGTTTGTCTTCTTTGGGGCAGTTTAACATAAAAAGATATTGGCATCCCAGTGATACCAATTACGTAGCTCCTGCAGTGAAAGGACTGCTCATCTATAAGGGAGTGATAGCTTTGTGGACTAGGGAAGGAGGATTAGAGAGGGTACACTTAAAAGATGAGAATTTCCTGTTGTCCTAATGTTTTCTTTATGAGGCTTTAATTCCACTGGAGTAGGTTTACTGATGTGTTTCATCTTTCTCTCTCTGTTTAGAAAAGCATTCATATTTCATGTCCAAAGGAAAATACATCTTCGAAGTTTTTGGCACCATACACTACTTTTTCCAGAATTCATACAAAGAGTGTAAGTATTTTGATAAAATGAGGAGAAATGTAATATCATTAATTAATTTTACATTTTATCTGCTTGTCTCATGCTGTAAACATTCATAATTAATGTTTCTTTCATTTACTTTGATTATAAGATAACAGCTGATAATGGAGTATGATACTGTTTGGCAAAACTGGTACTTGGGAACACATAGAATTTGTGTACAAATCCACTCACTGGTAATCTTAGAGAAAGGAATTTTGAAATGAAATTTTCTTATATGTTTTAGCAGAGCTACTTACTCACTTTTGGGTGATGGTGGTAGTAGCTTGTATTTGCATAATTTGCCACTGCTCATATTTTTGTCCTTTGCCTATAGGACAGGGATATTTTCTCAAAATTCCAGGTACAGTTTATTGAGGAATAATTTTCAAAGGTCTTTGTGATAAAGTCCTTTCCACTACTGTGAGCTTTTGAAAGCAGAAGTGAGAAATAGGTGAATAAACTGGTTATGTTAAAGCTTTCCACTTCTTATTTTATGATAGGTACTTTTTTAAATTGATTTTTAGAGAGAGAGGAAAGGAGACAGGGAGAGAGAGAGAGTGAAACAGAAGCATTGATGTGAGAGTGGAACATTGACCCGCTGCCTCCTACATGCCCCCCAATATGGATTGAGTCCACAACTGGGCATATGCCCTGACCGGGAATTGAACCAGAAACTTTTCAGTGCATGGGATGAAACCCAACCAACTGAGCCACACTGGCCAGGGCTAGGTACATTTTTTAAAAATAGCTATTTTTTTTTCCCTTATTGCAAAACACATGTATATTTAGGGATGAAAATTTAGGAAATATAAAACAAATTGAATCACTCATTTTTCTATAACTTAAAGAGAACTACTGTGAAGTTTTGTTATATAGCCTTTATTAAGAAAATCATAGTAATAATAGCTAACATTTATTGATTGCTTACTATGTGCTGACATCATGCTAAGCTTTATGTATCATTATTTTACTTGATCCTCCTAATCTTTTTTCTTTAAACATTTTACCATAATACGTCTTTACAGTACCTACTATTTTGTAACTTGCTTTTTGTAACTTGATCTGTTCTTTTGCTGTGACTAAGGAATGGATCTTTAGCTTTAGATTCTGACCTTGATTTCTATCCTGCTCTATGTAATGTATGTGAAAGTGTTTTATAAATGATAAAACGTGATATAAATGTTAATTGTCATAATCCCTAAAATTAAACGTTCCACAATGAAGTTGACAGTTCCTCTATTCGGAGATACCAAAATGAAGGAGAAAAAGTTTTGCTGTAGCTGGTTTGGCTCAGTGGTTAAACTGCTGGCCTGGGGATAGAAGGGTCTTGCGTTCGATTCTGGTCAAAGGCATGCACCTCGATTGCAAGCTCAATCCCTGGCCAGGTTGAGGCACCTGCGGGAGGCAACCAATGGATGTGTCTCTCTCACATCTATGTTTTTTTTCTCTCTCTCTCCCCTTCCACTCTCTCTGAAAAGCAATGGAAAAAATATCCTCAGGTGAGGATTACAAAAAATGTCTTAGAAAGTGTTAGAGTTGACATATCCTTTTAGTTGTTGCTAACCCTATTCATTATGGCTTAACTGGCAAAGAGCAAAGTAAAATGGAAGGTTGGATAATTAATGCCAAAGTCTCTACTTTTTCCTTAATAACTTAGGTCATATGGGGATCATTGTTGCTGGTAATATATCTAGGATTATATGTCTCAGTCTTACGTTTCTGAAATATTTGCAACTGGGTGTTTTTTAATAAAAAGGGTATGTATTTACGAATGTATGTGAAAGAGACTTGGCATTCTGATCATGGCTTTTTCAAGAAGTGATCGCTCATGTTGAAACCACATAAGTAAATCTGGGAATTCTCTTACTTATTCTGAAACACACACATACACAAAATTAGGGTTTTACAGAGGAAATGTGAAGTAGTAAATTGGAAGCATCTTTGCTTTTCCTTGAATCCTTTTGGTGCATCTTGGAAGACTATCTTTTTGTAAGTGGGTTCCTAAGAATTAGGAGAGGTATCTTAATTTTAAAATAAAATAGCAAAAGATGGAAACTATAGAAATGATATGTGATAGGGAAAACTTTTTAGCTAAAGCAGGAGACTATAGATGATTATATGAATATCTTTTTGTTTGGATAACTAAAAGGTGTTGGCTCTAGCCTCATTAGGAGATTGGTGATGATAAGTCAGCCTTTACATGAAACACATATCCTTTGTGTTGGGATAAGTCTTGGAGGAGTGTGAAACAGGAGAGGTTTGTAAGATATTTCAAGGGAAGAGGAGCATTTCATCATTAGTAACACTGTTTTTTTTGTCTTTGGAACAGATAACATGCCTGGACATTTCCAGTGGAGGAGGCCTTGGTGTGTCTTCTAGTGCTGATGGAAGCATGAAAGTCTGGCAGGCTTCCAATGGCGAGCTCAGAGTAAAGGCTTTGGTTACACTTTTAGGGTCTTATACATGAAGGGTGGTCTAAGAAACCTTAGACTGGGTCATGGAAAGAAGAGTGACTCACTCTACAAATATAGTACCACTGCACTTCAATTGGTCTTTGCTCCATTTGTTAATCTGAGAACCATCCTCAAGCTTGGTGATTTGCGAGAACAAATTGGAGCTGGAACAGTAGAGGAGCCAGGCCAGTGAATGTCTAAGTGGGTGGTCCCTTGATATGAACTGCTTTCAGTGATTGGTTTCTAAGAGAGAAGCTAGGCTGTTACACTGATTACATGGCTTAGTCTCCCAATCTGTACAGAGGATCTTAAGAAGAAGTGGATAAGAGAGTCCTCAAACCTCCTCAGCTTCTTATATGAAGAACTCGACTTAGGGATGGCTGTGAGAGCCATGGAGTTCAAATCCACGTCTGTAGCCAAAGCTGGAAAGGGGGCCTGGCTCTTAGAACACTACCTGGTAAAGAGATCCTTTGGGCCTCCTTAGTTTTAAAACCCAGCATGTGAGTATAGCATGTAGATATTTCATGTAAGCAACCAAGGATATGGGAGGTAAGAGAACATCAAGGGATGGACAAGAGAACTATCCTGGAATTTTCTTTTGTTTTTTCAGAGAGTATTGGAAGGACATGTGTTTGATGTGAATTGTTGCAGGTTTTTCCCATCAGGCCTTGTGGTTCTGAGTGGGGGAATGGATGCCCAGCTGAAGATTTGGTCAGCTGAAGATGCTAACTGCGTGGTGACCTTCAAAGGTCACAAAGGAGGTATGAAGGGTGATTTTTTCCAGAAGATTTCTCTAATGATCTGCAGAGACAGATCATAAAAAACATAGAAACAGGAGCACGTTTTCCACAAAAATACAAATAATTAATCCAACTGGACTTTTATTACATTTTATTTTTTTTAATATTTTTATTGATTTCAGAGAGAGGAAGGGAGAGTGTGAGAGAGATAGAAACATCAGTGATGAGAGTGAGTCATTGATCGGCTGCCTCCTGCACGACCCCTGCTGGGGATTGAGCCCACAACCCTGGCATGTGCCCTGACCAGGAATTGAACTGTGATCTATTCATGGGTCAGCGCTCAACCACTGAGTTATACCAGCTGGGCCAGCTGGCTATTTAAATGAGCTGCTATTTCTCCAAGGATTAGAAATTCTTTTGCTACTCAGTCTCGTTATTGCTATCTAGAGTTAACTGCCTTACACAGGTAGTTTTCCACAATTGTTATTAGTCCTTTGGCTGAGGTGATAGTAAAAGTTCTCCATAAGAATACCTGTGTGTCACTTAGCTTCGAGTGGATTACAGAATGTTTGTTAATCTGATTTCAGCTTTTATTCATATAGTTTGTCCCATTCTTTTGGTTTGTGAGAAATTCCTGGGGTGGGGGTAGAAAAGGAAAACTTTCTAGATGGCAGTTCTTTGGTGAGTGTTACTTGAAATTTGTATACAGGTAATACCCCTCACAGCTTCCTAGGCATAGCTGTAGCATCCAACCATGGGTACATGCTTTTCAGAAATTTTTTTTTAAAGCTTGCATCACTTCCATGGAACTCAGTAACATTTTTAAAAAGCAGTTGGATCCTGCGTGTGGGAGGCAGCCAATCAATGTGTTTCTCTCACATCAATGTTTCTCTCTCTCCCGCTTTCTCTGGAAAGCAATGAAAAAAATATCTTCGGGTAACGATTAAAAAACAAATCAATAAAAAGCAGTTGGAACTTTCCAGTAAAGACATAAACAGATCTTTGATTGCTTGGTAAGAGCTGGAGGCTCTTCCTAATGTTCCTACTGGTGATTCCTTAGGATTCTTTTTTTTTTTTTTTAATATATCTTTATTGATTTCAGAGAGAGAGGAAGGGAGAGAGAAACAGAAACATCAATGATGAGAGTCATTGATTGGTTGCCTCCTGCACGCCCCACACCAGGGACCAAGCTCGCAACCCGGGCATGTGCCCTGACCAGGAATCGAACCGTGATCTCCTGGATCCTAGGTCGATGCTCAACCGCTGAGCCACGCCCAGCCGGGCTCCTTAGGATTCTTAAAAGATACAAGGTTATTTTCTAGTTAGATTTATGCTGAATGTACTGTAGAGATAGAGTGGAAAGGTTGATTTTCTTTAACTCAAAATACAATTAAGAAACATTAAATGCAGCAAAACACGATCCGTTTCTGAGAGGAGGACCTATAAAAACCTTGTTTATAGTGGCCTTTATCAAGTGGATATATAATTGTTAGTAGTATTACATTTTATTTTTCCAACAACTATAATCAGCTATTTAAGTTGGGTTTAGTGCCCTAGCCGGGTGGTCTCAGTGGTTAGAGCATCAGCCTGTGGACTGAAGCGTCCCAGGTTTGATTCTGGCCAAGGACCCGTACCTCAGTTGCATGCTCGATCCCCGACCTTGGTCAGGCATGTGCGGGAGTCAACCAGTCAGTGTCTTTCTCACATCTATCTTTCTCTCTCTCTCCCCCTTCCACTCTGAAAAGCAAGGAAAAAATATCCTCAGGTGAGGACTAAAATAAATAAGATTTAGTTTTTACTTTAAATTGGATAATTTGTTCCATCTGAGTTGTCTCTAATCATATTTTCTCAAATAGGCCCTAAATTGGCTACTTTTTCAATTTTTGGCATTTTCATAAACATATTTTTCTGAAAAAAATCTTTCAAGATGAAATTTCCAGTAAGGGTTGAGGCATGTGGTTAATTGCATGGGTCCTCCCACTTGTACCTTATGTTGAGTTGCTATGGAGTTTTTGTCAAGGTTTGTATATCTGAAGTCATCTCATCTTGAAAGGAATGGGAGCAAGCCAAAGATCACTAATTTGCTAAGTGACCTTTGGTCAGGTACTCTTATTAGTCAATCTGCAAGTATTTATTGGGCACCTCTAATAGGATCAGTAAATGGGTTTTAATAAAACAAGTACCAGCCCTTCCTCTATCACCATAAGGTTGGATTACCTTTCTGCTCTGGAGTTTTTGTTCATTTGTTTGTTTTTTAACTGTGCCTGGTTTTTTAATTGGTTCCATATTGGAGGCTTCTGCAGTGTCCTGTCCAGGATAAATGGGAAGCAATAAGGAAATCCAGGGAACTCATTGCTCTCCAAGCCCTGAGGCCCCTAGGTGGTCTGCCATCTTTCCATCTTTCGGTCTTCCTATGCTTGTTTGTTGTGTTATGTCCAGGTCTGTGTTATGTCAGTTGTCAGAGGAAGGACCTGGGAGGATTGGTGCTACTCCATCTTGGCTGGACCAGAAATCACATCCCTTTTTTTTCGGACGAGGAGACTAACCCTTTCAATTAGTTCTCAATGGAAATAGCAGGATCTTTTTAAGACAGTGATTTTCAAATGGAACTCTCCAAGATGTCTACTTAATTTTTGTTTAAAAGACAGATTTTAGCCCGGCCGGGTGTGGCTCACCGGTTGAGTGTCGACCTAGGATCTGGGTGATTGGGGTTCGATTCCTGGTCAGGGCACATGCCTGGGTTGCAGGCCGATCAATGACTCTCTCATCATTGATGTTTCTATCCCTCCCTCTCCCTCTCCCTTCCTCTCTCCGAAATCAATAAAGATATATTGAGAAGAAAAAAAAAGTAAAAGACAGATTTTAAAGCCAAAATAAAAATTTGAAAACCAGTGCTCTAGAACACTCCACTAAAAATTAAGTCCAAAGCTTTTTTTCTCATGTCTGTTTCTCACAGCTCATCTTTGAACCATTGGGAAGCAGGGACTCTGTTCTCTTCATTTGTTTTTCTAGCTCTTGAACATGCCCCTCATGTAGTATATATCTAGTACATGTCTGTGAAGAACTGGGGTCATTTATGCAAATCTCGCTTCTCTGCCCTCACAGTTTCTTTACTACTCTATCTTAGGGTCTTGTTTTTCCTCTTGCCAGGTATCCTAGACACGGCCATTGTTGATCGGGGGAGGAATGTGGTATCTGGTTCTCGAGATGGAACAGCGCGACTTTGGGATTGTGGGCGCTCAGCCTGCCTGGGAGTCATTGCAGACTGTGGTTCTTCCATCAATGGAGTGGCTGTGGGTGCTGCTGACAACTCCATCAATCTCGGCTCCCCTGAGCAGGTGCCCAGTAAGTTGATAATGATCTGTGAGCTCTTTGTTTCCTTAGGCCCCTTCAGTATTTGCCTTAGTTTCTCCTTTTCTTCCTTGTCCTTTCCTGCTCTGTAGCTGGTATTTCTGTTTTCACCGTAAGATTAATATTTATTGCAAAGCTACTCTATTTCTGTTGCTTTGGAATCTACAAAGGAACTGTGTCGTAGTTACTGCATTTGAGTAATTGCAATTTAATATGAGACGAGACTTATGCCTGTAAAACAGAGAACAATAAAATTTTGGCTGAAAATAACAGTGATTCTTGGAAGAAGAGAGTGTTTTAGGTTAGTAATGATGTGAAAGGCATCACAAAGGGAGTTGACTTGAACCTTGAAGGATAGATTCCAGATAAACAGACAAGAAAGGGAAGGATGGGAGAATGGGAGCTAGGGTGGGGTCACCAGTGACTCCATGTTGCCTAATCCAGTGTTACTTCTCTGTGCTTGTCTTTCTGAATTCTCTACTGGGTTCAATGTAGTCAGCTTCTCTTCTCAGGACACTCTCCTATCTTGGCTTCTGGGATACCACACTACATCCTTTTCTTTCTACCTCACTGGTTGCTGCTTCTCAGTCTCCTTGTATAAATCTCCTTTATTCTACCTTTAAGTATTGGAGGGCCCCAGCTCTAACTACAGTTTCTCCCTGGGTGATTGATGGCTTTAAGTATTGTGTTTAAGCTGGTGATTTCCAGAAGTATATCTAAAGTATAGGCTTCTCACCTGATTTTTAGACTCCATTTAGCTGTCTGATAGGCAGCTCAGTCTTACCTGGTCTAACAAGGAGTGTTTTACCCTCCCCCCACATCTGTTTTCCCCACCTTTCCATTTGCTCAAAAGCCCAAAGCCTGAGGTTCATTCACAATCCACCCCTCTCTTTCCTCATGTCCCAGATTGGCAAAGTTTGTCATCTCTACCTTTGAAGTATTTCATTTTTCCACCTTACTCTCTCTCTCCCACTTTCCCTCCTGCCAGCATCCTGGTCCAATCTATCATCATCGTTGCTTGTACTGTTCTCCTATAATCCATTCTCCTCAGAGCAACCATTGTGGTCATTTAAAAAACATAAATCAGCCCTAGCTGGTTTTGCTTAGTGATTAGAGCATTGGCCTGCAGACTAAAGGTTCCTAGGTTTGTTTCTCGCCAAGGGCACATACCTCAGTTACACACTTAGCCACAGTCAGGGCCATGTGGGAGGCGACTAGTCAATGTGTCTCTCTCACATCGACATTTCTGTCTTTCTCTCTCTCCCACTCTCTCTGAGAAGTAATGGAAAAAATATCCTCAAGTGAGAATTAAAAAAGAAAAAAAGAAGAAGGTAGCCAAGAAAAGAGGACCCAAAATAAAGCAACCATGCTTACACTTGAAAAATAAAAAAATAAAATACAAAACATAAGTCATTGATTTATCCCATGTTCTTTGTCCCTACTCTTCCCTAGTAACCTTCTTTTATATACATATTAAAATCTTAACCCCTTACCATGGCCCATCACAAACCCTTGCACTTTCTGACCCCTGCATTCCTCTCTAGCCTCACATCATAGCACCACTGTGCTCCAGCCACAGGCCTTCTGTTTGTTCTTTAGCACATGGACTCTCCCAGCCAGTACTTTTGAAACTTCACATGACTGGCTTCTGTTTACCATTCAGGTCTCTGTTGAAAAGTGGGCTCCATGGAGACTTTTTAAAGTTGAAGTTTAAATTTAAAATTACCTTTTGCGCCCAGCCGGGCGTGGCTCAGCGGTTGAGCATTGATCTCGGATTCAGGAGATCGAGGTTCGATTCCCCATCAGAGCACATGCCTGGGTTGCGGGCTCGATCCCAGTCAGGGGCAAGCAGGAGGTAGCCGATCAGTGACTCTCTCATCATTGATGTTTCTCTCTCCCTCTCCCTTCTTCTTCATGAAATCATTAAAGATATATTTTAAAAAATAATAAAATAAAATTACCTTTCCCCCAGTCCTCCTGTCTGTTCACTTTTGGTCATATTTTCCTGTTTTATTTCCTTTGTAGAACTCATCACTATCTGAAAGTATCCTGCTTGTTTACCTATTCCACTATTTCCTAGTTCCAATAGAATCCTGAAGAGTAAGGACCTTGTCTGTTTGTATATCACTATTTCCTCAGCACCCAAATGGTGTCTGACACATAGTAGACACTCAATAACTACTTAGTGAATGAATAAATTTCATTTCCTCCAGACTGTAAGAGCCTTGAGGGCAGAGACTCTGTTTTGTTCAACATTGTACCCCTGCTCCTAGTATGTATCTTGTCACATTACAAGGGACTTAATAACATATTTAAGTTGGATTTATTGAGGTATATTTTACATAAAGTAAAAGTCTCTCTTTTTAATTGTACAGTTCTGTGAGTTTTGACAAATGCGTACAGTTATATAAACAGTACCACAGTCAATATATAGAACATAATAAATGCTTTTTAAAATTAATGAGGAAATCAGCCCTGGCCAGTATGGCTCAGTTGGTTAGGCATTGTCCCGTGCACCGAAAGGTTTCCAGTTTGATTCCTGGTCAGGGCACATTCCAGGGTTATGGGCTAGATCTCTGGTAGGGGGCATGCAGGAGGCAGCCAATTGATGTTTCTCCCTCTTCCTTCCTATCCCTTTCCCTCTCTCTCAAAATCAATAAAAATATATTTTTTTAAATTAACGAGTGAACTCCTATCAGAGTAATTAAGTGAACAGCATCGATATCTGTGCTTTCTGGGTACTGCCAGCTGATCACCCTGTTATTGACATAGCTCATCTGTCATGCAGGTGAACGGGAGGTTGGAACAGAATCGAAGATGCTGCTGTTGGCCCGGGAAGATAAGAAGCTTCAGTGCTTGGGACTACAAAGCAGGCAGCCGGCAAGTGGTTCCTCTAAGATCTTTGAACTCTGGGGCAAGCTGGGTCACTCTGATTCTTAGAAAGCTGTTTTAGAAACATTTCTATATGCACACTCTATTCACCTTTTGAAGAAGCTGCATGAGTGAGAGGCAGTACATTGTAGTAATTAAGAGCATGGAATTTGGAGTAGGGCAATGTTTAAATTCCAGCTTTTCCACTTAATGGCTATGGCATTGGACAGGTTACTTAACCTCTCTGACCCTCAGCTTCCTCATCATTAAACTGGCAGGACTTATCTCATAGGGTTATGTGATGAGGATTGAATGCTCTACTACTTTGTGACCTTTGTTAAGTCCCTTCCCTCTGGGCCTTCATGTGCTATACATAAAATGATAAGGTTGTATAGATTTCTTTCTACTTCTATGGTAATATGAAGAAATTCTGAGTAAAGAAATCACGCATTCAGGGCTCTAGATCAGATAATGGTCAGAATGTCTTTTATAGAAGAATTAGTTGAATTGTCTTCCTTCATCCTCTGAGGTTTTGCTTGTCATACGGTGTTCTTAATTAAAACCTGAGTTTCCTGGGATAGGTTTTTAAATTTTCTTTCCAGCTCCTTTCATCACCCAGATAACTTTAATGATTTGGTTTGGCCATAGGCTGTGTATTTTCATTTTATCTTGTTAGTTCATTGTGCTGGTGATGTTTCCATTTTCAAAGTTCGTTCCAGGGATGTCACTGTTTTTTATTATATTGCCTTTGCACTCTGAATTTCCATGTTAGCTTTTACTTCCAAAGGGAAACCAAGGAGTTTTGTTTTGCTTTGCTTTGCTTTGCTTCTTTACTTTTTAGAACCTTCAAGTGAGAAATTATCAATTTGAGCTAACAGTAAGGAATAAATAGAAATCTGATAATTTCTTTTTTCAAGTACATAGGGAGAATTGTGATTCTTCAAATTGCCACTTTATTTAAGCTGGTTTCTTTTCCTACAAAGTATCTCCGTTTTAAAAGGTGGTTAGAAGTGACACGAAGCAAATCTTAAATGTGTGAATTGCAGGTGTTTTTCAAGTGAAAGGTTGTAATGAAAAGAGGAAAAAGAAGGATTTTTGCTGTTGAGGATCCTATGAGTCAGTGTATTGAGGGGGGTAGTAGTTTGAAAATTGCTGCCTCAGACTGTGGTATTATATAAACTGCTGCAGTCTTCAGCCAACCTCAGGTTCCTGAAATCCTCGGAGTGCTGCTTCCTTGGCTGTTGGTAAATGCATAGTTTAGATTAAGAATATTAAATGGGGAGAAAGAAAATATCTCTAAAAGTAGTAAATTTTCTTTTTTTGGTGCTTGTTTATTCCTGGAAACAGATTAGCTCTAACAGCGTTTTTGTCTCTGGCTCCCTCCCAGGTGTTCCTCTTTACTGGCTCAGATGCCTTCAACTGCTGTACTTTTCTCTCTGGCTTCTTGCTGCTGGCTGGGACTCAGGATGGAAACATTTATCAGCTGGATGTGAGGAGTCCAAGGTGAGTCACCATTCATTTGCATGATGTAGACCTTCTACAGAGTGCAATTTTTATTGGCTTTAGCATTGATTTAGGGTAGCATATAGGTGGTTATTGAATTAAGGGTATATTTTCCCATTTATAAAGGTTTTCCAGTGTGAATTGTCCAATTGTTCTTATTATTCTTGGAATTGTATTAAAAGGTGATTTGATTCATACTGTCATGATTATCCTGTTGTAGTGATTGCTTTGAAAATTAAACTTAAAGAATGAACTAATATCTCACTTTAAAATGATTGTGTAAAACTTAATTTTAACGAGCTCAGTGATTTTCTTTATGGTATTAGATCTGGGTTGGCCTAAGATTGATCATTTTCAAGTTCAAATAAGCCAGCTCTGGTCCTTTATTAGGTTTTATCATAAGCTATCTAAAACAGGCTTATGCCGGTCTTAAAGCTATCCAGACAAAATCACACAACCTCTCTGTCCCAGAATTTAACAATGTCTACAATTTCTTCCTCCCTCTGTTTCCTTCCTTTGTTCAACTGATATTTATTGACTAGCTTCTGTTGGTACCAGGCCTTGTGCAGGGCACTGAAAAACAGAAAAGATATAGACTTTGCCTTTGAGGCATTTGGAGTCTAATAGTAATACCAGGCAAGTAAAAGACTATTGTGATGCAGTGTGATCAATGGTCAGACAAGGCGATACACAGGAATATGACGAAGCACCAAGGAGAGGGAAGAAGGCGAGATTGCTTCTCCAAGAAGATGAGGCTTTAATTGCATCTTGTCCAGTAGGAAGTTTCCAAGTAAAGAAGAAAGGGCAGAATAGCATATAGAGAAGCATGAAGACATATAAATTAAGGCACTTTCAGGGATCTCTGAGTAGTTAATATGACAAGTATGTACCCTGCAGACGGGGCGGCAGTGAGAAATGGTGCCAAACAGGAAAGCAGGAGTTTGCTTAGAAAAGACTCACAGCCCAGCTGGGCATAGCTCAGCCGTTGAGCATCAATCTAGGATCCGGGAGATCGCGGTTCGATTCCCAGTCAGGGCACATGCCCGAGTGGCGGGCTCGATCCCCAGTCGGGGGTGTGCAGGAGGCAGTCAATCAATGACTCTCATCATTGATGTTTCTCTCTCTCCTTCTCCCTTCCTCTCTCTGAAATCAATAAAGATATAGTAAAAAAAATATATATATATAGTAGAAAAGACATACCAGCCTAAGGAGTTTGGACTTTATTCCAAGAGCAGTGAAAAAATTCCAGCTAAAGAGTGACTAGCTTATACCTTTTCTTCCATAATTTAAGTTACATTATTTTTGTACTTGTTTTTGCCTCCCCAGATAGGGAATCTCTGATCATTATTATAAAATCACTCTTACATATATATATATAATTGATTCTCACTCACCTTTCTGTTTAGTTTTAGAGTCCTAACAATTTTAACATTTCACCACTGTCTTAATTATCTAGAAGTAAAAAGATTTACATATTGTTAACACTATTATCTTAAACCCTTGTCAGGGCTCCCAAACACTGGAGATATTGGTGGTGACCAGGTCCATTCAGCCCAATGACAAGTTTAGAGACATGTTTAGATTCACTCCAAGGTGTTTTGAATGGATTATCTTGATCTACCACTTAATTATCTTGTAGGAAAGAAGCCATAGGAATATTTAATCTCTATCCACCTATGTCCTGTTTGCTGTTATGTGGTTAGTATTATATAGTCAGGCATTGCTTTTAAAGAAAAAAACTAAAATTTCCCCTTTGACTCTGAATCCTAGGGCCCCAGTACAAGTCATCCACAGATCAGGAGCACCAGTTCTCTCCTTGCTGAGATTCAGAGACGGATTTATTGCTAGCCAAGGTGGGTCCAGGGGCCGATAGAGAGAGATGGTTCCATGCAGTTCAGTTAAACATAGGTTTAAGTGCCTGGTCTATAGCTGGGCTAGGGTCATGGTCCTCCACAATTGTTTGGTATATTGTACTTAACACATAGTGTTTATCACCCTACATTGTAACTGTCTCTGTCCCTCTCCAGTTCGAGCTCCTTGACAGTAGTGACTGTGCCTTATTCATCGTATTATCCCCAGCATTTAGCTCAGTGCCCACTATGTAGACAAATACCCTTGGCAGATATTGCTCATCAAAGACAAGCCTTCTTCCCACAGAAGACACTTGGCCTTCAAATCCTCTGTAGCCCAGCATTCTAGGCAGCCACTATAGGTCCTCACATTTGACCTACGTAATGAGTCTTGTTTGCCTTTCTGAATCTTAGGACAATCTTCTTTAGGCTAGTGATGTAAAGAAATAAACTAAAATATTGAGATTTTTAAAAACTCCTTTGCATAAAGCTTTCTCTTCAGTTTTCTTATTTTTCTCTGCCTTTTAGGTGATGGAAGCTGTTTCATTGTCCAGCAAGACTTAGACTATGTCATTGAGCTCACTGGAGCTGACTGTGACCCTGTGTACAAGGTACAGGCCTGACTGGAGGCCAGGCCTCGGTGATTCTCACTAGGATCTAAAGTTTTGGAGGGGACTGAATACAGCTACTTTGTGTTTATTAGGGGTGATAAAATACTTAGGGATGGGATAGAAAGAAATCAGAATTTTGAGTCCAAAGTGACTTCATCACTTACTAGATCTAGAAACTTGAAAAATCACTTCACCTCCCCAGTCTGTCAGTTCATATGTAAAATGAGGATAATAGTGAGATAATGCATAGGAAAGCTCTTTGTAAATTTAAAATATTCTATAAATATTAGCTATTATTATTGTTTAAAGCTCAAGACTGATTGTCTTATTTGGTTAGAATGGAAGAGAAAAATAAAAGAGTAAATAATATTTATTGACCAGACATTGTATTACCTCATTGATTAAATTTTATCATTCCTTAAAGTATAGATATTATTCCTGTTTTTCTTATGATTTGAAATATTATACAATTAATACATGCCTATAAAAATTCAAGCAATGCTGAATTATGCAGACTTAAAAGTCCCCTCTAAGACTTTTTTAGTTCAGCTCTTCTTTCCAGAAGTAGCTAGCATTAACAGTTGGGCACATATCTTTCAAGACTGTTTTTGTGTTTATGTATTTATGTAAATAATAGAGTTTTATCTTAGTTTGTACATAATTGGGATCATCCTATATATATTGCCTTATGACTTACTTGTCTTTTTTACTTATCATCTTGGAGCTCTTTCCAGACAAATGCGTATAGATCCACTTCATTTCTAAAAGTTTCTGCATAGTGTTCTATATTGTGAAGTAACACATCATTTTCAGTTTACAAATAAGGAAACTGGGGCCCAGAGGAGCTGAGAAAGTTGTCCATGGTCATGCAGCTATGTATTAGCAAACCTTAGGTTCAGCTAAGTCCTGAATTCATGCTATTTCCACTAATTTAGTGGTTCTTAACCTTCTTTGGGTCTCAGACTTCTCAGAGAAGTCGATGAAATTCTCCTCAGAAAAAAAGACACGTGTTGGGAGCTTCTTTGTGTACAGTTTTATGAGGTTCAGGGAATACCCAGGGCCATTATGGACCATCTTATCTCCTCTCCAGGTACAGACTCTGCACTAAGGCATGCACAACACCAAGGGTTTGCTCTCTGCTTGGCTAATTAGCATTTCTTCTGTATTCATAGTGCCCTTGACCCTGGCCAGCCTTTTTTTTTTTTTTAATATATCTTTATTGATTTCAGAGAGAGGAAGGGAGAGAGAGAGAGAAACATCAATGATGAGAGAGTCCTCAATGATCAGTTGCCTTCTGCATGCCCCCTACTCGGGATCAAGCCCGCAACTCTGCATATGCTCTGACCGGGAATCAAACCATGATCTCCTGGATCCTAGGTCAATGCTCCACACCCGGCCAGGCCTGGCCAGTCATTTTTAAAATACATATGGATGTAATGCTCTTCTTGTCTTTGGTGTCAGTAAAGCTTCTCAGACTCCCCTGTACTACTGGGGGTGAATGACAAGGCTCAGTCTTGTTGAAATGGAAGAATTCCAGGCTTGCTCTGAATTGTGAACTCTTGTGTTCTAGGCAGCCACATGGGAGAAGCAGATCTACACATGCTGTCGAGATGGTCTTGTGCGGCGCTATCAGCTCTCTGACCTCTGATTCCTTGGAAAGAGGAGTCCCAGTTAATGAAAATGATTGACCATGATCAACAATGAGCAGAAACATCATCCGTCCTTCCCAAGGACCATGTTCTTTAGTGTACTGGGCATCTTCTAGAAGTCACATAAAGTCAGCTGCATTGGCTGTGTATAACTATCATTCCATAGCAAGACTTACTTTGAACTGAGTAAGAAGCTCACATGTGCTCACTGCAAGGAGTTTATCCTCTTTGTATAAACTCACCCCAGCAACAAAAGGCAAGCTTATGGACTGCTTACAGTTTGATCGCACACCTGTTGTGTTAAATGTTTACAGGACCAGAGGATTAAAGCCTGTTTTCTGAAGGAAATAAAATATGTTAGGAGGAGTCTGAGTTAGAAAAACTTTGTTAAATACTCTTATTCTAGCAAAAAGTCAGTTAAGCTGTTGGAACTCTTTTCTCAGGTGCTTCCTGTTGGCCTGGCCATAGAGGAGGACTGTTGACATTAGCAGTAAATATCCCATAAGCAGCAACCTGGGAAAGATTTTTATACAGGTAGGATAACTAACCATCCTAGTTTTCCTTGGACTGAGGGGTTTTCTCCTACATGTAACTTTCAGTCCCAGGCAAACCGACATGGTTTGTCAGCCTACATACAGGTCATGAAGTTGAATCATATTATTGTAAAGGCAGTAGCTATCAAAGTGTGGTCCCTGAAATAGCTGATCAGTATCACTGTGGAACTTAGAAATAGAAATTCTTGAGCCCCACCTCAGACCTACATCAGAAATTCTGTGGGTAGGGCCCACAATCAATATTTTAACAAGCCTTCCATGATTCTGAAGCATGCTGAAGTTCAAGATCTAGAGAAAGAGATGGTAAAGGGCACTTTAGTCATAGGTGGAACGCAGGGCTCATAGGATGGCCGGGCTGGTCTGTAGGAGATGAGGGCTGGAAAGGTTGGCAGAGCCCGAATAGTAAAGGGGCTTGAATGCCAGGTAAGGAGCTTGAACTTCACTTGTTTGGCAGTACAGAACCATGAAGGAATTGCTAAGCAAGGGTATGACATGGTTACTTCTTTTTACTCTAAACATAAAAATGGAATCCTAATGTATGTATTCTACGACTTATTCTCATTTAGTATCTCATTTCTTTTCATCTCAGTACATTTAGACCTTCCTCATTTTTTTAACAATTTCCAATGCACGAATACCATTTCATTCACAGTTTAGAGATTATTAAAGAAAAAATTTCTTGGAACATGCAACACTTGAGCTGGATCATATAGGCTGAGATCTGGAATTTATTTAGGGAAAGAAGATAATTCCTGGCTGGGGGAATAGTATGGTTTGCAGAGTTCTTAAAGGTATATTCTCATGTAATCTTTACTGCTACCTTGTGACATATCAGTAGTGAGACTCAGAGATGAAGTGATTTGTCAGGGGTCATGGAGAGCTGGAACTTGAACACAGTTTATCTTAACTTTAAATCCCATTTTTTTCTACCTGCTGCTTTTGCCTAAATAAAATTGCAAAAATAAAGTACTGTAATTCATTGAGTATCTATTGGTAATCTACTCTGTTCTAGGTACTATATTTATATATTTAATCCTCACAACACTGTTAAAAAGGAAATTATTCCTGTTTTACAGATAAGGAAATTAAGTACCAGAGCTTTGATGTGGACCTTGCTCAGTCTGTCTCCAAGGCCTGTGCTTCTTCTACTTCAGCATGTGGTCAAGAGACCTCTAGGACTAGAGCTATTTCACTTAAGGAGTGATTTGTGGTAGGGTCAGGTGACCCGAAGAGACATATTCCAGATTTCAGAAACATTGATTCCCAGGAGGTCTGAGGGGTACTTCTAAGAAGTCAGATTAAGAAAATAGGATGAGGCCTGGCTGGGCGGGGCTTAGCAGTTGAACATCGACCTAGGATCCAGGACATCACCGTTCGATTCCCGGTCAGGGCACATGCCCAGGTTGTGGGCTTAACCCTGGTCGGGGGTGTGCAGGAGGCAGCCGATCAATGACGACTCTCATCATTGATGGTTCTATCTCTCTCTCTGAAATCAATAAAGAGATTTTTGAAAAAAGAAAATAGGATGAGGCCCTGGCCAGGTGGCTCAGTTGCTTAGAGCATCATCTTGTACACCAGAAGTGTTGAGGTTCAATTTCTGGTCAGGGCACATAGCTAGGTTTCAGTTTTGATCCCTGGTTGGAGCATGTATGGGAGGTAGCCTGCCTCTCCTCGTCATGCCCCTGCCCCCCCCCC